ATGAAATGCTGAAAGGTATTCTTTAAGAAGAGGAAGAAGAAGAAAAAGGTAAAGATAAAAATTATGAACAACAAATGCTTATTTATCAACAAGTGAATCTAAAAATCAAGTGAATAAAAAATTTGATGAATAGAATAAACTGGTAAATATAATAGAATCAGGGGCATAGAAAGGGAGTGTACTGACAATTCTTGGGGGAAAAGGGTATGGGGGTGCAGGAGAGACTGGACAAAGATCGTATACCTATGGATGAGGACAGTGGGAGGGGTAAGGGCAGAGGGTGAGGTGGGAACTGAGTGGAGGGGAGCTATGGGGGGAGGGGGGGAGAAAGAGGAACAACTAATAACCTGAACAATAAAGATTTATTTTAAAAAAGTTTATGGGAGAGAGAAGAGCAGGAATTCAGAGGCCTTCATAGAGGCCTCCCACCAGTGGGCTAGGAAGTTCCATCAGATGGTGAGACTTTCCAGGGCAGATAGGATCTTACTTATCTTATAGCTCCACTGCCGAACACACACACACAAATGCCAAGTGAGTAAAAACCAAAGGAGAGAAGAGAAACTTGGGAGCAAACCTGCACACTGAAGCAAGCTCAGGATTGCACTTTCTTCCTAAGCACCTCCCACCCATGACATCATGGCATCAGATGCCTTAGATTCTGGGCCTCCCAGGGAGGCCTGGAACCAAACCAGAGGTGTCTGGGGGAGATACACCTGGCATTTACCCACAGGTAGACACAGAAAAATGAACTAGGAGAAAGAAAAATCTCAGTTTGCTGCAGAAACATTCATCCATAGCCCCAATGTACTCCTTGTATGGGTTTCTTTTGGCTGCAAGGTTTGTCAAACTGGAGAACTGGAACCATTATATTTGAGTAGGGAAACCATGAGTCATGCAGGGTTTGCCCTCTGCAAGCACCAGCTGAAAGCTCTCCCTGGGTGGGGTGGAGGTAGGGACCCACCCTGGCATCTGAGAAGGATATTTCATTATAGGGCGGCACCTTTCCTCAAGGAACTTCTGCTGCGAAAGAGGGGCGTAGGCATATAGATCATGAGGTCAAGGACAGCCTCTGCAGAATGCCTCCAACTACAGTACATCCCACTAAGTGCTGGTCAGGAATCCAAAGAAACAGAAGACCTGGTCCCTGCCACATGGCTCAAAGGATATTTAGAAAGTCACGTTCAGGCAAAAGCAAAATCAAAGAATACAAACAGAGCCAACACAAGCTGGGTGATCGGTGGACTGGTTAAGTCAGAGGAAGTTCCCCAAAAGAAGGAGTTGATAAGGATTTTGAAGAAGGGTTGAGTCTGAAGAAGGGAAAAGAGACCAGTGTTCCATCTGACAGTGATGACTCAGGGAAGAGCAGTGGTATGGAGGATAAATGGCTGCTGAGGAGGTTGCTTCAAAGACCAAACTGGAGGGTGCTGAAGTTGATGCCCAGAAAAAACATTGTGCTTCAAGAGGGACAGTGCAATGGGAGTGATGGGAAGAGCTTGTGTATAAGGCTGAAATGGGGAGTTGCTAAATGCAAGGAGGATGGCAGGTGTGTGTGTGTGTGTGTGTGGTGGTGGTGTGGTGGTGGTGGTGGTGGTGGTACCAATGTCACCTAGAAGGAGAAATTTGCTTCTCACCCATGGCCTTGAGATCCTACTAGCAGCACAATAAAAGACAAAAATAAGAATTTACATTTTACATGGCTCTGTGGTCTAAGATCACACTTGCATGTCTAGAATTCTTACTAGAATAAACAACAATGAGAATTACTCGTAATAATTTACTGAGTGTCTATTATGTGCCAGTCATTGAGTTAACTGCTTGGGTGACCTTCACAACCACTGACTGAGGGAAATATATGGGGAACTGTGTACTTTCTACCACTGTATATACTGAGTGGCCAGACTATTATGACCATTTGACGTTTGCAGGCAAATTAGCTGTACACTGCATCATATGGGATATGGAATCCAAAGGCCTGTTCGAACAACTTTGCTGTCTGCAGTTATCAAGATAAAACGTCTCCAATTCTCATAGCAACACAAGGATTGGACAGTCAAGCATTGGAAAAAAGTCATGTGGTCCGATGAATCACATTTCCAGTTGCATCATGCAGATGGCAGAGGGAGAATTTTGCGGAAACAGCATGAAAGCATGCACCCCTCATGCATGAGTACACCTTTAAGCTGGTGGGGGCAGGGTTATGGTTTGGGGCATGTTTTCCTAGCATGATTTGGTCCCTTTAATTCGTGTGGAACAACGAATAGCACAACATCTGAATAGCACAACATACCTAAGTATCATTGCTGATTAAGTTCATCCTATCATGTTGATGGCTTCTTCCAACAAGACAATGCGTGATGCCACGGTGCTCATATTGTGCAGGAGTGGTTTCAAGAACCCGAGGGAGACTTTACCTTGCATAGGTGGCCCATGTGAAGGAGCTAGAAGATAGATGAGGTCTAGGTGAGAAGCAAATGGGCTGCTTCTTAGTTTCAGGCAGAGATCAGGCATTATATCTGTTCTTATCAAGTTAATGGCTTGACAGGTTTTTCATCTAAGAACAAGAAGTCCAAACAGGCCCTGACTGCTGTGGCTCCGTTGATTGGAGCATCATCACACGCACTGAAAGGTCTCAGGTTCCATTCCCAGTCAGGTGCCTCCCATTCCTGCGCCACCCTCTTCACCCAACACTGCCCTCCTCTCCTACGTTGACTCAAACCCCAGTGCTGTGCTGCAGGGACCATAGGCAGGTTGCAGGAAGGAAAGAAACCAACAGCACCCAGAGGGCCATTTATAGTCCCTGGCAGCACAGAAGCACAACACAGCATCGGCACCACTACCACTCTTCCAGGTGCCACCTGGCATCTGGCTCGTGTGGTGGGTGGTGCCCTGATCACTCTAATAGCCAGAGTGGCTCAACCTCGCCCGCGTTGCCAGGGCCACTCGCCTCTCTCTCCTCCCTGGCCTCTCACCTGCAGCCCTGCAGCAGGGCACCTGGGCTTCTATCTCAATAGGCCCACTTGAGGACGAGAATCCAACCCACCAACCTGAGGACATCTGCCCCTCCAAGAGCCTAGGCTTCTCCCAGCACTGTGAGATGGAGATCCAGGGAAAGAACCACTGTTGGGTTCCTCGCACTAGGCAGGGGCTACCCGGAGGGAGGGGGAGTGAGGGCAGGACTAAAGGAGTGTGTGAGGGGCCAAGTGCTGCCGAGCTCATCACTCAGACAAACACAGGGATCAGAGGGGGAAGAAGTGTTCAATGCAGCTGGGAGATTCGGTTTGTGTCCCAGTCCACCTGTGTGGTCTTGACTCGAGTGTTTTCCCCCCACTTGAGAGCTATTAAAATAAATGCTTAGGGAAGTCACTTCCTTTGTCAAATGGAGATAATAAAATAATACCCGCTGAAAGTACTTCTTACAAAATGGTCCTAACGTTACATAACAAATATTTAAAGCATCTCAGAAACTCTGAAGTATCTATAAACAGAGATAGGTTACATGTATATATTTTTTGGATTAAACAAGGAAAAGTGACTCAAAATGGATAATATCATGAATAAAATCAATATATAAAAAGTATAAAGGAGGAAGTAAAAACCACCTATGATGCTACTACTCATGGTTAGTCACTGCTACCATTTGTATATCACTTTCAATCTCTTATCCAAAGCACAAGTATGCAAATATAGATTACATACCAGAGTGCCCCACCACCAGGAGACTGGATTGCATGAACTGTACCCCCAGGATTTCTTAGGATTTTTATCATTGATTTCATCAGAGTAGTCAACTCAACCTCCACTGGAACTTTATCATTGGTCTAAGTAAAACATTTCAGAAACATACTGTTAACCTTCCTCAGTCCTTTAGTTTAATAAATAAGCAGTTATCTGCAACATGGTACCCTGGAAAAACCATTACACCAGGAATCAGGAGATCTGAGCTCTTGCCCTGTGTCTGCCAATTAAGAGCGCTGTATAACCTGGCAAGAAGCCTCGGTGTCTCCGTTTTCCCATCTGTGAAATGGGAGTGATAGTTTATGCCTTGAGAGGCAGATGGTATCACATTGGGGAAAGTGCTTAGAAAATGCACAAGTCATTCCTGATGGGAATGATTGTACCCATCTCCATGGGTAACTATAGTCCATGTCTGTTAATCCGGATCCCATTCAACAAGTCCTAACAAGGAAAGGCAAAGGCTCCCCTGGAAGAGTCTGCTCATTTCTAAGATGCTAATGTACCATTATTCCCTTCGCCTCCAGCATTCATTAATGAGTCACTCGCATCCAAACCAGAGTTAAAGCAAGTTCCAAAGTGGTTGACTATTACCCCAAGAGATGAGGAATACTGTTCACCTCCCAGTTCCAGAGTCTTATCCCTGGAGTCAGCCACAGTCTCTCTGAGATCACCAAATCCTGTTTTCCCAACATGACTGTGACAACTGCAGCTGGGCTTGTTAAACATGAACGTTCTCGGGCCCCCAGCCCGGAGCCAAAGTCGTTGGCGATGGGGCCCAGGGACCTGACTGATTAACTGCTCCCTGCACCAGACTGATGCACTCACTGTCTAAAAACTGATCCAGTCCACGCGCTCATTTCACAGATAGAAAAACTGAGCCCAAATTACAATGCCATGAGCGGCTGAGTCAGGGCCACAGGACCAGAACTCAAATTTATTTCTCAATCTTTCTCTACTTCTTTCTTCCTTCCCTTTCTCCCTTCCCTCCTTCCTTCTTCCATTTTTCTCTTTATTTCAAAAACATAGATTTCCCCCCCTCCTACCCTCCTTAACCACATACAGTTCACCAGGCAGTTCTGCTCCATGTGGTAACAATTCAGATTTCCTGTTTGCATTTAAATAACATTTAATATAAAAAAAGCCATAATTCTTTTAAAAAATCAGTCACAAGAAAAGATGGTTTGGAACATAGCAGTGAGTAGCCATAACATCCCTCTGCCAGCGGAAGCGAAGACCTGGGAAGAGGGCAACAGGGAGGGTGGGAGTGAGTGGAAAACAGTGTTCCTAAAATTTATTCATCAAACTGTCAGCAAACAGCCAGCAGGTGGCTGGTGCTGGGAATTCAACAGCACCTAAGCCAGGATACATGGTTACAGCATCAGTCAGCTCACGGTCACAGCGTCTCTCTGACTAAAAAAATGAAACCGATGAGCGAGTGAGCAAGGGCTTGGGCAAAAGGAGTCAGGGGCAGCAGCGAGCGATAAGAACAGCCCAGCCAGCTTTGTCCTCTCCTGTGACCAGTCCTCTTGGCGTTCTTCCTCTTGGAAGGGTCAGATACCGTGTTTTTATTCCCAGGCTGGCCACATGCTTGGTTCAAGACCAGAATCCGGGATGGGGGGTGGGGAGGAAGGATGCTCCCACAGCACAGTGCCCCGTGTGCTGGGGACAGACGCCGAGAGGCAATGGGCTGCCTTCCCTGACAGACCACAGACGTAGCTGACCATGCAGAGCCAATAAACACCACCTCCCTGGGCTTTCATAGGTCCCCACCTATTCTGAATGGGTCCCCACTTAAGCGGTCCTTGAGAGACGTGGGAAACATGGCTGTGTGTGAAAGTTTTAGTAAGCAGAATGTTGGAGACATTATGGTCCCATTCAGCTCCTCCCCCAAAGTCTTTTTTGGCATGAATTTGCTTTGCCCTAGGTGATTTCCAACCATTCTTGTCTTCTTCCTCATCTGCCTCCTAATCGCAGTGACCCTTTGAAATCATATAACATCCTCCAAAGGGACTTGTGCAGCTCTGAGCAGGGCTGTCAACTGGGACTTACATAAAATCTGGGGCCAGGGGAGACACAAAATGATTTCTGCCAAGGCCACTTTATGTCCCAACCTAAATGTTGTAAACATACTAGTAAAACCATTCTTAAATACATGCCAAATACATGATTATCTGAAAAAACAAAACTGCCTTATGAAAATAAACTCCACAAGCAGTTCATTGTACCCCGCAAGTGCGGACCAGGCCGAGGGGGAAGCATTGCGAAGGCAGATGGAGGAGCAGAAACTGCCCAGGGGCTCAGAGTGGGAAAAGTCCTGTGGCTGCAGCACAGGGACCTGAGGCGGCTGAGGACACTGCTCAGGGGTTCTGTCTCCGTCCTCAGACAGTCACCTCGGAAACCCACTGCTCCCCACCTGCAAGAGCAGAAGACAGAAAAGAGAAAACCATAGCTGCTGATATTTGCTGTGTACTTCCTAACTGCTAAGAGATTTCCTTACAGTCACTCTCTCACTGCATTTCCACAATGATTACTCAAGGAAGGCGTTATTCCCTGCTTCACAGATGAGCTAGCTAAGGTGGGATTTAAATTCACCCCACCACACACTCACCGAGGGATATAAAGTACAGCATAGGGATTATAGTAAAAATCCTATATAATAAAGAGGTAATATGCAAATTGACCATCATGACCTTGCATAAAATGGCCACCCCCATGTGGTCAGAAGATGGCCTGCAGGGGAGGGCAGTTGTGGGCAATCAGGCCAGCAGGGAGCAGTTAGGCGTCAATCAGGCTGGCAGGGAAGTGATTAGGGGGTGATCAGGCTGGTGGGCAGAAGCAGTTAGGGGCAATCAGGCAGGCAAGCAGGCAAGTGGTTGGGAGCCAGCAGTCCCAGAGGTACCTAAATCGGAAGTCAGACATCCCCGAGGGTCTCATATTGGAGAGGGTGCAGGCTGGGCTGAGGGCACCCTCCCCCCCCCAGTGCATGATTTCCATGCCCCAGGCCTCTAGTTCTCTAATAACTAACTATGAATGGTGTTAGGTGGGTGCTAGACTTATTGGTGGGAACACCTTGTAAGTTTTATATCAATGTCTAACCACTATGCTGTACACCTGAAACTAATAGTAAATGTCAACTACAATTACAAATTATTTTTAAAACAAATAAACAAACTCAGACTTGCCCAAACTCCAAAGCCTATACCTTTAAAAAACACACACACATCATAGAGAGAAGATGAATATAAGGCACAGATACTTCATAAGGCATAGATACTTCATAAGGCATGGCTCATGGTTTCCCATGTGTATTCATCTATCTTTGTCTTTGAAAATCATTTATTTTTTAAAAACATAAAAGTGCCCTAGCCGGTTTGGCTCAGTAGATAGAGTGCTGGCCCAGGGACTGAAGGATCCTGGGATCAATTCCAGTCAAGGGCACAAACCCCAGTGGGGGGCTCGGTCATTTAAAAGGACTGAACCAGTTTTCTCCATTTGGAAGTTTGCTACTTTCTCGTAGTTCTGGGGAAAGACTTTGGTTAAGGCTTCTTGCTCTGTCTCACTGAAATCACTACAATGTGTCTCTCTTACGTTGATATTTCTCTCTGTGTGTCTCTCCTCCTCCTTTCCACTCTCTCTAAAAATCAATGGGAAAATATCCTCAGGTGAAGATTGACAAAAAAAATAAATAAAAAACATACAAGCCATACATATTTAATACATTCTTATTAAAGCCAAACAATTCAGAGTGAGTGGAATGAAAAGTAAGACTTCTCCTTGACATTCCCTATATTCAAAAATACAGATGTAACAAAAGCACACTGGAGAAAAAATTTAAAGAGAAAAGAAACAATTATCCCTCCACCTCAATGACACAAGCAGGCGTAGGTTTAGAATATTACTTTTCAATATGGTTTTGTCTGATGTGTGATACTCACTGGATGTATTTTGCAGCCAGCTTTCCTCTAATAAAGTCAGGGGCATTTTCTATGTCATCTGCCTGGCCTTCTTATCCCTCAGAGTTAATAAACGGCCGGGTGACAGTTGAGTCAGAGCCATACTTTACTTAACCACCCCTGACTGCTGAGCATTTAGATTGTTTCTAATTACTTGCTGCGATTAAGATCTCCGCTCATTTTTTTTTTTCCTTTCTACGGTTTGGATTATTTCCCTAGCATTCCCAGAAGTTGAATTACTGGGTCAAAGGGTGTGAACATTCATAAGGCTCTTGATCTATAGTGCCAGATTGTTTTCCAAAAGGACTGAACCGGTTTTCTCCGTTTGGAAGTTTGCTACTTTCTCGTAGTTCTGGGGAAAGACTTTGGTTAAGGCTTCTTGCTCTGTCTCGCTGAAATCACTACATTATACTTCAATTTTGCTGTCTCCCACAGCCCCGTTCGAAGTGTGTTGACAATGTCTGACCATTTGATTACTGGGTGGAAGATTTATACTGGTCTCCCCGTCTCCAGGCTCTTCCTGCTTTCAATCTGTTTTGCACACTTCAGCCAGATTAATTCTTTTGCAAACATCACTTGCCTTCTGTCACTGCCTTGCTCAGTAACTTGAATTGACTTTTTATTTCCTCCAAGATCAAGTCCAAACTCTTCTACTGGGCCTTGAGGACCCTCCATAATCAGGTCCTACTCCCCTTCCCAATTCCTATCACCCTCTGCAGGAGCCCTCAGTCACTTCCCTTCCAGTCCCCAAATTACCCTCCCTGTGCTTTCCCCCTTTGATAATGTTTTCTCCCACCTGGAATTCTTCCTCCTCTTCTCTATCTAGTCCAAACCCTCCACTTTCAGGGTGGTTCACTCCCACCCACTCGGTTGAGAATTCTGGAAGAAGAGCCATGGAGGGAATGTAGTAGGAATGCCATGCATGCCAGCAGGGGCTAGGGAAGACAGGGCACCCCCACATTACATCTGCCAATGGGTTGGCAGCAGATATTAGAACCAAGGCGGAATTCTTTGTACATGTAGGCTGTTTCTAACGGCCTCAAGAGGGGATCTGTGAGAGAGCAGGATTGTGAGCTAGGGCTAATGAAATAATGATGACAATAATAATTATAGTATATTAGTTAGGATTAGCTTCACTTTGAGAAACTAAGACCTGAAAAATAATGGTTTAATATGAGAACAATTAATTTATATTTTACGAAAAGAAACCTTCAGAGAGAAAAAAAATCTTCAGGGGAAAAAAAGAAATATTCAGGAAGTCCAGACCTAGAAATGGCAGCTACTGCTCATCAAGGACCCAGGATCTTTGATTTAGCTCTCTGCAATGCCATCACCAGACTGTGGCCCTCCCAAGCTCCAAAAAAGCAGTTGGGGCACCAGCCATCACATTTAGAGTCCAAACCAATAACAGGCAGAAGGATGAAGGAGAGTATCTCCTCTAAAAAAGAATAAGTTTTATTGTTTTTTAGAGGGAGAGGAAAGAAGGAAAGAGAGAGAGAGAGAGAGAGAGAGAGAGAGAGAGAGAGAGAGAGAGAAACAGTGATGTGAGAGCAAGGATGGAGCCTGAAATCTGGGCATGTGCCCTGATCAGGAATCAAACCGGCAGCCTTTAAGGGGATCTCACAGATTCCCTCTTTAGGCCGTCAGAAACAGCCTACATGTACAGGACGATGCCCAACCAACTGAGCCACACAGGCCAGGGCAGAGTGTTTCCCTGTTTAGGAAGACTTCCTGGAAGTCCCGGGCAATGCTAGTGCTCAGAATTCATTGGCTTAGTCTCAGGGTTGCAAGGAAGTCTGTAGGTTCAGATAAAAATCAGGGTGATGTCACACAAGAAAGAGGGGAATAGATTTCCAGGCACAAAGTTAGCAGTCTGTTGCCACTATTTGTTGAGGTACTGTGGTAATCAGTTTACATATATTATCTTTATTTTAAGTATGTTTTATTGATTTTTTTACAGAGAGGAAGAGAGAGGGGTAGAGAGTTAGAAACATGGATGAGAGAGAATCATCGATCAGCTGCCTCTTGCACATCCCCTACTGGGGATGTGCCCACAACCAACGAATATGCCCTTGACCGGAATCGAACCCGGGACCTTTCAGTCCCCAGACTGATGCTCTATCCACTGAGCCAAACCGGTTTCGGCCATATATTATCTCTTTTAATTTTTATACCAGTTCAACAAGCAAATATACCCTAGAAAGGAGAGTGTCTAAGTCCAGAGCCTCAGCTCTTTTAAATTTTTAGGCTTCATGGAGACTTAATGATATAAAAATCACAAAATAATTGAAAATATCTTTTTTCCCCTTGATCAAACACACACACACACACACACACCTTATAGTTTCTGAAATTGCATCTCATCCTACAGAACTCATTGGAGTCTCTCCTTTAGAACGTATTTACTTACATATTTTTGGCATAAGGTAGGTCTTTTTTGTGAAGAATATGTAAGACTTTTTTTTTATAGGTTGTAAAATACAGGCAGTTCTCCATAAGTAACATAAAAATGATTTTTGAAAGGGAAAAATAATTTTTTGAGAACATTCAATATAAACCGTTTTCACAAATGAAAGGTTTACTGAAATAATTGTGAATGTGAAAAAGGGTAAAAAAGATGAAATTCTCCCTCCTTCAATTTTTATTGTATTTCGGGCTATTACTCCGGTTTTCCTGTAAAACAAATGAATGGGAAAATTGCCGCGTAGAGAGGCTGGGCAGGTTTGCTGATGCTAATTTTGTGGCCCATCTGTAACCGCGAGGCTGGGAAGCATGAACTCTTGGTGGAGTCAGTTGGAGGGGCAGGGTGAGGGTGAGACAGGATGGGGGTGTGGGTGAGTGGAGAGCACATTTGATTACAAAAGGAAAGCTGTTTGGAAAAAAGAATTTCAGATAGTCAGAGACTGCAGACAGAGAAGGAAGAGAGGGACTAGGTTAAAAAAGTCCAGTGGGCATGGACTGGGGGTGATGGGGAGGCCACCTGGAACTGAAGGATTTGTAGATAAGGCAGGCTCAGATTTGCCTTCCTGGCTACCTCTTGCTCCCCCCAAACTCCCAAGATGAATTCTACCCAAGCACTGCAGCTAAAGAACGATCAGGTCCAGTGATTGCCAACATCTCGCCGTGTGCCCTGCCTTCTGTGGCTGTGTGTGCCTACTTGTCCCCTGCAGTAAAGCAGTCTTGCATTCTGGAGGAGTGACTGAGGCCGGGTGTTGCTGGGGACCAGAGCCAGAGAAAACGACAGGGAAAGGCTCGTTCCTGGAATGTAAGCCGCTGGAGGGCAAGGGGTGAGTTTCATCCCCATGCAACATACAGTGCCTGGTTCATGGCTCCCCGCACTCTTCCCAATTGAAGTTTTTATGAAATGAATGGATGGATGAATGAACGAATGAGTGAATGAGGCCACAAGCTAAGAATATATATATATATATATATTTTTTTTTTCCAAATGAACATAAGT